CCTGGCACCCCCTGCTAAAAGCTCAAATCAATCCGAAGGATCCCTATGATTCCAAGGGTTACACACACACAGAGTGTGTTTGCAAGATCTATGACTCTATGAGGAAATGTCGTACTTCTCAATCAGAGGGCCAAAACAGGGAGCACCAGGGAGCACCGTCAGGACTCGCGAGCGCTTTGCGACCCGACCCATCTTTCGAACGTACAAGCTCCAAAGCACATGTGGCTTCTATGCGTGCCGACCGAAGCATGGTCCACTAGAAGCCTAATTCAAGTCGGTGCATCAACAAGGCCCCTAACATCCAGGCCCCAAACCCCACCCTCATATATAAACGGATAATTGCAAAATATTACAAAACGTGAGACGATAAACGGTAGAAATATCCATCTTATCCCATGGGAGCCTTAATTAAATGCTGTCCGTGGGGTCTTGAGGCCCTCGCTCTTGGCCGCCTGCTCTGCAGAGTTGACTCCGAGCAATTGAAACCTGAGTCGTTGAGAACTCGAAGAGAGGTCAGAATTGCAACTAGGAGCAAAGGGCATCGCTACTAGGAGCAAGGACGCTATTAGGGGCTCCTGGCATCGCTACTAGTAGCATTCTTGCTACTAGTAACAAGACGCGATCTATTTTCACTGCCAGTGCAATGTGTACCCAGTCTATTTCTCAATGCTGCTCCACTTCAAGAGCTCATCAAGATGCATGTTTCAGTTATTCCTAGTGGCAAGAAAGTCAACTTTGCTTGGTTCCGAACAAGATCCCTTCCCGCTCCCAGTTCTTATCGAGGACGTCCTTTGCAGAAGGGCATCAGGGGACTCGACGCACCCGTTGTCGGCAAAGTGAGTGAAACATCGGAGCTCAAAAGTGGGTGAACAGCCGCCAGCCGCCGCCAGCTATGCAGTTAGCTAGCTGCTAGCTGACCGATCAGCTGTGAGAAATGAATGGTTTGAGGCCAACAAGATTGAAACTGTGGGCAATGAGATGGGATGAAACAAATTAGAGCAAGGTGAGGAAGCTAGTTAGGTGCAAAGACCATGATACAAAGAGTCATTGTAAGACACAGTGAAGATGCAGCAAAATGGTGAACAGGTGCGATGATGTATTGGTATTGAAACAAATAGATAGATGCTAAACTGTAAATGAGTGAAGGAGCCTCCCTTGCCTCAGAAAGAAAGAAACAGGAACAGGAGGAGTTGCGCCACCAAGATCCCAATTCTTGTTGCAAGAGCTACTCCAGCCAGCTTTTACTAGCTCTTGCGCTTTGATTCTTCCAAACCAATCGACCTGCGAAGTAAGAATGGCACGAGGGTCCAATGAGTCCACTCAATCTCTGCTGCCCCTGGGCATGGCCCTGCCCAGGGCCGAGTCCTCTTCATCGGCCACCTCTTTGGCCAGGAGCTGCACTTGCTCAAAGACCTGCACTTGCGTTGTTTGTGGTTGGAGCCTTGTCGAGCAAACTCCGAATCCTGAATCCGAACATTTCTTGGATGTAGACAGGGAAGTCGCACATAACCTTATCACATTTCGTTGCAAGGCCGCAAGGCGCTCTTGGTACTTTAGTGGATACAAAGGCCCCGTTGGTGCATTCTCAAGTCAACACCTGCTGATGGTCGCGGTGTGAAGAATTCAAAAAATATGTTTTAAGCCTATGAGAAAAACACATACAGTATACGATATGACTGTATATATATATATATATATAGTTGTTTTACAAAAAATTGTGTTTATGGAAAAAAAGGTAGGGTCCCCTTCAAAGGAGCCTTACCTTCCTTTTGTGTCATTCAAAACCATTCATACAGTATAATATACGTATGCAGTGCATGTATACTGTATACGTCTCTCATTTCTTTTAAAGCATGTCTCTGCCACCGAGCACTTATCCCCTCCACTGTCTCTGCAATCCATCCCTCTCAGCACAGCCTTGCTAGCAACCCGCTTGCTTGGAGCCTCCGATGGTCTCTTGACAGGAACAGTGAACAGTGGCACTCAGTGGAATCCGTCCGAGAAGTGTGTGTGTGTGTTAATACCTGTTTCCAAGGTTTTTGTGGCTAGTAAGGTTGCCTGCCGTAGATCTCACTAGCAGGCTGGATGCTACTAGTTGCTCCTGGCCTTGCTACTAGAAACCAAACCAAAATCAAAAATAGCGCGAGCAAAAAAGAGGCAGGGGGCAGTGACAGAGTTTGTGGAGTCACTGCCAACGAAGACGTCCACATTCTCTGGTGATGCATCGGGAGACGTCCTGATGTGTACCTGCGATGATTTACTCAGTTGAACTGTTGACCAAGCTGTCTAATTCTGTGTTTTTTGCAGTAAGCGGCTAATACACCGAAAGAAATTGTTTCGCACCTTCAACATCCTTCAACTATACGGACTTCTTCGCCTTTCGGTTCGTGCACCTTTCAGTTTCTTCAAGTCAAGGGGGGCTTCATTCTGATCCTAGCCCTTGCGAGCAACCATCTAAGTATCGCCACAGAGTCCCACTGAGGGCTGTGGTGTGATCCCCGTCGCGGGGCGCTGCATGTGCATAGACCCAGATCCTGGGGGATTTCTTCCACCTTGGAACTTCTTTCGATTGCTTCTGGCTTGACTGTTTTGCTCGATACCACTGATATCATGCCGCAGGGCTCACTGAGATTACGATCCAGTCAGGATTTGCACATGCGTCTGAGTATTCACCTGTACAGTTTCCACGGCTAGGTAACCACAGGCTGCTTTTCAGTTGCATGTTCTTGTCATGCTCTTGAGTTCTTTCTCTCTTTCTGTTGCTTTTCGTTTCTTGAGGCCTTTCTTTCTTCAGGTTTCAGGTGTCTTTCAGGTGTCTTTCAGACAATGGGTTGCGCCGCCCCAAAATTGGCTATACTTGAATGCCACTGATGGCAATGCCTTCGGGCCCCTCCCTGCCCCAGGCCTCTGTTGCTATCCCACCCGCTATTTAGGGTAACAGAAGGAAATCGCACTCAACACACTTGTGTGTTGGTGCCTTTCCTTCTGTTTCTCCTGCCCTACTCCTAGCTACTCGGGCGGTTTAAGACAAAAGCCCCGCTTGCTAACTACTTTCATTTAACTAAGTGGGCCTCGTCACTATACCTATCTTTCTTTCTTGCCCTCTTCGTGTGCTTTTGTTTTGTTTTCTTTGTCTGTCTTTGTAAGGCTTTTAGGTGACTAGTAATCTTCCGGGGCGCCGATATCGGCGTTATGTGTACAAAGCTGTTGCAAACAATCATTTCACGGAAGGGCTACAGAGCGCCGATTGCGGCATAGTGTGTGTGTGTGTGTGTTAACACCTGTTTCCAAGGTTTGTGCCTAGTAAGGTTGCCTGCCGTAGATCTCACTAGAAGGTGGATGCCACTAGTTGCTCCTGGCCTTGCTACTAGGAACCAAACCAAAATCAAAAACAGCGCGAGCAAAAAAGAGGCAGGGGGCAGTGACAGAGTTTGTGGAATCACTGCCAACGAAGACGTCCACATTCTCTGGTGATGTGTACCTGCGATGATTTACTCAGTTGAACTGTTGACCAAGCTGTCTAATTCTGTGTTTTGTGCAGCAAGCGGCTAATACACCGAAACAAATTGTTAAACACCTTCAACTATACGGACTTCTTCGCCTTTCGGTTCGTGCACCTTTCAGTTTCTTCAAGTCAAAGGGGACTTCATTCTGATCCTAACTCTTGCGAGCAACCATCTAAGTCAATGTGACAGGCTGGAAAATCGCAATGACCTTGACATGGCATGCTCACGTCGTTCAGCCTCCACCGTAGTAGCGATGGCCTCCAACCTAATAGCGATGGCCTCCAACCTAGTGCGATGGCCTCCAACCTAGCAATTTGCTTATCTTCTCAAGACCACTGTTGGGCCCCTCTGTCTGACTCCATGGCCCATACACATACATGTTCTGAATCGTAGACTCTCCTATACATCTGCCCAGCTGCTGTGGAACATGAAAATTCCCTGCAGCATCTTGAAAGAATATCTTGTTTCGACTGGCAAGCCATGTGACCATGGTGGCCTCTTCTTCTAGTGTCACTGACCTGGCCCAATGGATCTTCACAACTTGGGTTGCTCCAGGCGAAAAACTGATAAAACAAAGGTCGGTCCGCTAGTAGCTTCTTGTTCCTAGTAGTAAGGCCACGAGCCCCTAGTAGCGTCCTTGCTGGTAGTAGCGATGCCCTTTGCTCCTAGTAGCGTCCTGGCACAACAAGGATTGTGGTTTTGATGCTGTGAAAATTAAAATGATCACCAGGTCACTAAGAAGGTCACCTATCATGAGAAAGAGCCGACCGCTGCTGTACATTTTTGTCTTTCAAAAAGCGTTTGAAACCTCTTAACTGTTAATTGTTAAAAGGACCGGGCCTCCCTCTCCGGTCATGTAAGACACGCTTGGGCACTTCTTGGACTTGCCTTGGCTTCTTCTTCTCTTGGTGAAAGAGTGAAGTAGAGCTGCACAATGGTCATGTAAAATTCAATTGTGAAGAACATACGCATTACTCATGACTCTGACTCATTGTTCTCAAATTGTTCTGCTTGGAACCCCCGACACTTCCCCAGTCTCATAGTCCAAGAAGTCATACTCACGGTGGATGTAGACCTGGACAACCAAGCCAACACTCACATGCAATCGCTGCGACAAAGCTTTGACGCTTGGTACTGCAAACCATGGGCGAAGTCCGTCTGCAGGGATGCGTGTGCCAGGGCAACTTGGAGTAGAACGTCAGGTTTATATTCCAACCCTTTTCTTGAAACCTGTTCTTACCATCGAAAGCCGTCATCCCCGCTTGCCCAGGTGTTGCCACACCCAAAACTGTGCCGGGCATGCTGAAGGCCCACAGTCCTGACCAGAGTTCCATGAGACCAAGGACAAGACAGAAGATGTACATGAGCAGAACAATACAAATGTGTCCACAAACGTACTGTGTTTTTAATATAATATACAGCGCTTTGTTGAGAAGCTCGAAATTGGCTTATCTCCAGATCTGCTGGTTGAAGGCCCTGCGAATGGCCAAGTGTGTTTACTCGTGTCGGAGCTTGAGTCAAGGTGTCAGACTATCAAAGAACACCTAGAAAAAACTCTGCCGAGGAATAAAATTAATGTATATCAGAACAGGATCCCCACCTTGCAGACGTGCACATCCGAACAAGCTGGGCACACGAAATGCATGTCACCAGGCCTCAAACTAGGATTTCAAAGTACAAATCACAAACGTTTGGAACAAGAAGCTACTAGTAACAAGGGCATCGCTATTAGGAACAAGGAGGTTCCTGGCCTTACTACTAAGGAACAAGAAGATACTAGTAGCAAAAGGCATCGCTACTAGGAACAAGAAGCTACTACGTTTTGGATTGCCCCAGAATGCATGCTGACCCTTCACCAAATGACTACATGAGCGATCAGTGGCTGCACCCAATCTCAATTGAGACACACTCAGTCAAATCTGCAGACAAGTATGCACGCGTGCAATGTGCAAAACCACCAAAAAAATCCTCATCGTTCAAATTCATTTACCTGACTGAGAGGGGAGGGGACGAAAGCCAGCCTCCGGCTTAGGGGGTGCTCTTAGGGTAGGCTCGGGCAACGACGTGGCGTGCAAGAGGAAGTGATGGGGTACCATCGGGGAAAGAAAAAATTCGTGGTGCGAAGTTGACATCGCAGCCACAGGGAGAGGGGGTAGAAATGGACAGTAGAAGATGTAGGTCTGGGTTAAGGAAAATTTTGAAATGAAAAGGGCACCGGCGTGTTGCGAACCAGGGAGCAGAGACGGCGGCGGGGGTGCACATGCGAGACAAAGGGTAGGGTAGGTGAGGAGGTCCCCGTATATAGACATCAGTGTGCAAGGTAGAGTGGAAAAAGAGCAGCAGGATGTGGTGAGGTGGATATGGGAGCGACGTGCGGGTGGAAGATGAAGTGATAGGCTAACATTATGTAAAGAGTACACGGTGATAGGAGGTAGAAACAGACGGTAGAAATAAAAGGGGGGGGGTGCCTTTTTTCGTTCTGGTTGAGGTGTGCTTTGGAGCTGAAAAAGGGCGCCCTCAAAGATTGCACGTGAGTTCGTCAGCTGCGTGCTGGTAATGAGTGACCAGAGACGGTTGTGGGCGAGGCCATCGGCAGACTTTCGCGAGGACATATGCTCACTTCGTTCGCTCCAACAACTTTACCCGGTGGCTTTCGTGACTAAATATATCGGAATCAAAAGGTATGTCTTTACGCAACATATTACAGAATGTGTAAAAAATATAGAATTCCTTAGAAAAATCTAACGTCAAGTGTAATAAAGGCTCAACACATTGACAACCCGATCAATCCGCATGTAACGAAGAACAAATGTCATATTCTAAGAAAGAAATACAACCTTCATTGAAAATGTGCATCCCCCCAAATTTGGAAACTAGTCAGATCATTTGTGTAATATTTGGAAACCACCCGAGACGTACTAGTCACAGCGTTTCTTTTTCGGCCAATCGCTAAAGATGGAGCGACTGCGGGAATCCGGCGACGCAGACGACGCCAAAGCATCACATCCGACGCAACAACGTCCGCGTGAACAAAGATGTCACAGCTTCATTTCCTGCGGACTGATTCGAGTGAACTTAAACCGCCGGAAACGACATGGACTCCGATCGAGTCTGCATGCTGAGGAATGTGAAGGGAAAAGACTTTCCCACAAGTTCCCTCACTTCCCTCAAGAGGAAAAGCAGTCCAGGTAATCGTGGCATGCCGTGGCCGGGAAATGACCGCAAATAGAGTATTGACATCGCAGCCACACTGATAGGGGGTAGAATCAGAAAGTAGAACACATAGCTTCGGGGGGAGGTGCCCTTTTTTTGCCCCGGCTCAGGGGCGTTCCTTGAAAAAGGGCACCCCTAAGGAAGTGAGGGGCGCTTGCCTGCGGCGTGTTGCAAATCAGTGAGCGAGGCTATGGGCAGGCTATGGTGAGGATACACATATGTATATAGGTAGAGTGGACAAAGAGTAGCCGGCTAACATCGGGCAAAGAATACTTTTATAGGCTGAAGTTGGGATCGCAGGCACCCGATAGGAGGTAGAAACAAAAGGTAGAATTAAAAAAGGGGGGGTGTCCTTTTTCGTCCAGTTCCAAGAGTGTTTTGGAGATAAAAAAGGGCACCCCTCAAAATCCTCAAATATATTGTATGAGTTGGCTTGCTGCGTGGAGCAAAAATGGTTTTGGGAAGCCTATGGGCGAGGCTATCGGCAGGCTTTCGTGAGGATACATATATGTATATAGGTAGAGTGGACAAAGAGGAGCCGGAAGTGGTGAACTGGATATGGCCGTCATTCGAGATAGAGTGGAAATAGACAGTAGAATACATAGGTTTGTGACGGGGTGCCCTTTTTCGTCTTGATGTCGGGGCGTTGTGGAGATGAAAAAGGGCGCCCCTCTAGTCCGGGGAAGGTTTGGCACGGCGTGCTGGTCTATGCTTCAAGTGAGTTGACGGCGGGCTTTCGTGATTAGATACTCCCCATATGGAGTGCCCGCTTGAGTCCACCAACTAGACCTTGCCACGGGGCACCCCTAAGCAGTTCTCTTTCCTGCTCTCAAGTATACGGTGACTTCTAGCCAGCTTTTCACGTCCCAACTCCCACCCCTAGTAAAAACAGTTTACATGGCCTCCTGAGTCCCTCATGATGCACTACTGGCCGTCAATTACATCACCGGCATCACAACACCCCCAAAAACCACTCATGTTCACTACCAAGTGGCCAGCCTCTTTTTGTCGCTCTCCCCAACCAGGCTCTGGGTTCACCTCTCCGGAAGTGACCACCCACGCGACCACCCCCCACACACCCCCTTTACTCACTTCGTTCGCTCAAGAACCTCAAGCCCAGCCTATCGGCTGGCTTTCGTGATATAACATCTCCAGTTCACAATAGCTCCGAGGCACAGGATGTCTTCTCCACAGCGAGTGCAGTCCTCCAGTGCAGAAACATGGGAATCACAAGTGGGCTTCTAAAGCTTCTCCACATGGTATGTTTTGAGAGTTTTGATCTCACACGGTCACCAGTTCAATTGCTGTGTATGTCTGTTCTTGTTTCTGAGTTGGTGTCAATCGCTTTCTATGAGAGTTTCTAGGCGGGATTTGCCCAAATGCTGAGTTTGATGTACAAAAACGATCAAAATTTAGCATTGCGTCAAAGCGACAGCAATTGGGCATGGCGGAACATCTAGCATCACCTAAAAACATCTGCTCTTACGTCTAAAACTGTAACTCTTGGGCACTGCCCTGTTCGCCTTGGCGGAGCTGCACATGAGGAAGGTCTGATAACGAGGCAAGCGTGCATAGCGATGCAGTGGTCTGCCTAAACTGGGCGCGCATTCAAGACGTTTTTGCTGATGGCCCACTGTATTTCATATTACTCGTTCATCATATATTCAACTGACTAGTTTCATCTATAAATATTATAAATATATAATATATACAGTATACAGTATACATGTGTTTCAACATCTTTTGATCATGTTCAACGCTCACCGATTCTTGGTCTTATCTGGAGCAGGAACCTATAAACATGAAGGCCATCACACGAGCACACAAACACCGTGTTCGTGTAGTACTGCTAGCCCAAGCTCCAACTCGCCAGCTTGAGGCTTGGAGGTCAAGTGATGGGGCATTGATAGTCGTTGATACAACGGACGTGATGCCTTTACCCCTCTCAAGGTTGATTCCCTCGACTTGTCTGAAGATCCACACCGCACTGGCACAAAGCTCGCGAGGAGGCTGCATTCACAACATCACCATCCTCAACACGCCTGTGATGTGAACAGGACGCTGCGATTTGGAGGGCTGAAGCTACTAGGAACAAGTGCATCGCTTCTAATAACAAGTGCCTTACTAGTAGTAACAAGAAGCTAGTAGAAACAATAAGTATATATATATACATATATACATTTTAAAAAAAAACACAATCACATCGATGCAGTACTGCCTAAAGGATCTACTGCGTTTGATGGAAGAGATCTGTGGGATTCATTGCGGAGGGTCGTTCGTGATCAGGTGCTGCAGGAATTCTTCCTTTGGAACTCCTGTTCTTAAGATCATGTAGCAACTCTTCCTTTCGGAGATCCTGTCTAAGGTGTCACCTTGACCAGTTTGGTCAGACTCCCCTGCCAGATTCTTTTGCAGGCCACGCTGTGTTGGATAGATAAAATGTTGTGCAACAACAGCATAGAAAGGATCAAGAAATTGACCAAAGTCCTCGACTCATTTGTTTGAGCATATTGAGGATGTTGGGCAGCTATCTTCAAGTTTGCAGCTTCTTGAGTTAAGTTTCCCTAAACATCTAGGAATCAAATCATTAGTGCGAGCGCTTCTTCAAGGAAGCTTCCCCCGCCGCCTTTAAGGCGGTGGGGGGAGCTACCTTTGTTGCTTCTACTAGCTACCTACTAGCTACCTACTAGCTACCTACTAGCCACTACCTACCTCCACCACAGCAGCGACCTACCCCCCAAAAAAAAGACTCAGTTGCATTTTCAGACTCCACACCCTATGACCATGGCCTGGATGCTTCATCCCACTCGGGCTCGTCCTCCAGAATGTCCTTGCCACAAGAGAATCACCCCAGCCATTCATCTTCTCAAGACATTAAACAAATAAAAAATGAAATGACGTGTGCACCAAAATATAAAGTTGCACTTCAAAGCCTTGAGCAAAAGCTGGACATAACCCAACTCTACAATCCTGGTATAACTCACAGGCCGGCATGGTCAGATCTTGAGTACGAACACCGGAGGACTAGCAGTTCTTCAACAAGAGGAGATGGCTGGGGTGAGATGGACATGGTTGTAGACCCGAAGTGCATTGCAAATTCCTCCCTCAACGAAGTGCTGGGTGCACCGGGTTGGGAAACTGCTGTGTATCTCAGGTTAAGTAGGAAGCTTGAGCCAAACTGAACTGGCAGACTGGCAAGGCTGCTCAAGTTTTGATCCAATCTCCTTGGCAAATGTTGTTTTAATCAAAAAACATTGTGCAGTACATGACTGCAGTACATGTACATGCTCATTATCCCGCAGCTTTCGAAGCTCTGTATGCATGTCAAATGACGTGTTCTGCTTCCATCCTAAGAACAAAACTCGGCTTGATTGGTTGCCACCTTTTTCCTTCTTGCGCCGTCAATCTGAGAAATGTGCGAAAAACATATTCCGACCAGCTAACCTCTCAGATAGCTTGAAGATTTCATGGCTTGGCCCCGCTCGTATCCACGAGGCGACCTTTTCGCTCAAACCATCCTTCTGCTATATCGCTCCACTCCTGGCACTTGTGGTACAGGATTCAATGGTGAGTATATAAGGAGCTTAAGACATCCTTGACATGACTCATTTCGCTTGAAGCCATGAAAGGGTCATCCCCCCTACCTGACCTATGTGGAACATTTCTTCTGAATTGCCAA